CTGTTATTTTATTTATATTGCTTCCATTGATTTACACTTGTGGGAAAGCCTATTTTCCCAACATCTGGTATCAGAGCAATTGGTTAATTCGGTTCCGATTCGTTATATTTTCTGTGTGTGAATTATGGACGGCAACGTTGGACGTATGGTTAGTTTCAATGGCACAAATTGGGTGACTTGGAAAACTAAAATGGAAGATCTTTTATTTTGTAAAGATTTGAATGGACCCATAGAGGGTGATAGTGGCAAACCGGAAGGGATGAAAGATGACGAGTGGAAAAAGCTAGACCGGAAAGCTGTCGGTTTTATTCGGCAATGGATTGATGATAGTGTCTTTCATCATGTCTCTACAGAAAAATCTGCACATGGTCTTTGGACCAAATTGGAGAGTTTGTATGATAGAAAGACGGCAGTGAATAAAGCCTTTTTATTTCGAAAGCTTGTGAACTCTAAATATAAGGAGGGTACTTCTATTGCAGAGCATTTGAATGAGATTAAGAGCATTGTGAATCAGTTGGCCGCCATGAAAATTACTTTTGATGATGAGTTGCAAGCTTTGTTACTTCTTAGTTCACTTCCCGAAAGCTGGGAAACTTTGGTGGTCACAGTTAGTAACTCCGCACCTGATGGAGTGGTAACAATGAGTCAAGTTACCAGCAGTTTGTTGAATGAAGAAACAAGAAGAAAATCATCAGGTTCTTCTTACTCCGAGGCACTTGTAATGGAAAACCGGGGGAGAGGCAGGAGTAAGAGTAGGGTTCCGCACAACCGTGATAAATCTAGAGGTCGTTCAAGCTCGATGTCAAAAAAGGATGTTGAATGCTATTATTGTCACAAGAAAGGGCACATGAAGCGGGAATGTAGAAAACTCAAGTTCAAGGAGCAGAACAAAGAGAAAAATTCAGAGAAAAAGCAAATTGATACAGCTGTAGTTACCGATGATGAACTCATGATTATCCGTGATGATGCTAGCGTTAATTTGATTGGCCAAGAGACGGATTGGGTAATTGATTCTGGAGCTTCATTTCATGTTACTTCGCGGGCTGATTTCTTTACTTCTTACTCACAAGGTGATTTTGGGAATGTCCGTATGGGAAATGAAGATGTGTCAAAAATTGTCGGCATGGGTGACATTTGCTTGGAAACAAATATTGGATGCAAATTGCTGCTTAGAGATGTGAGGCATGTACCAGATATTCGACTCAATTTAATCTCTGCTGGAAAGTTAGATGATGAAGGCTACATCAACAATTTCAGTAATGGAAAATGGAAGCTCTCCAAAGGTTCTCTAGTGGTAGCAAAAGGAAAGAAGACTTGTTCTCTTTACACTATGCAAGCAAAAATCTGCAAGGGTGTTGTGAATACCTTAGAGAATGACTCATCCACTGATTTATGGCATAGAAGGCTTGGACATATGAGTGAAAAAGGATTGCAAGTTTTGTCCAAGAAAGAGCTTCTAGTGGGGATAAAAGGTACGCCTTTGAAAACTTGTGTTCATTGTTTCCATGGTAAACAAAACAGAATATCATTCCGTAGAAACATTGCATCTAGAAAATCTCATGTTTTAGATTTGGTACATTCTGATGTATGTGGTCCTTTGAAAGTTAGGACACTTGGTGGTGCTCTATACTTTGTCACTTTTATTGATGATCACTCTAGAAAAGTTTGGGCTTATACACTGAAAACTAAAGATCAAGTTCTAGATGTGTTTAAGATTTTTCAGGCCAAGGTTGAAAGAGAAACAGGTAGACAGTTGAAATGTGTTCGCTCGGATAATGGTGGTGAATATATTGGACCATTTGATCAGTATTGCACAAATCATGGTATCAGGCATGAAAAGACAGTTAAAAAGACACCTCAACAGAACGGGGTTGCAGAGAGAATGAATCGCACCATTCTTGAGAGAGTCAGATGTTTGCTCTCACATTCTAAATTGCCAAGATCCTTTTGGGGTGAGGCAATGAGGACCGCAGTTGATCTTATCAATTTGTCTCCTTCAGTTCCGTTGAATGGTGATGTGCCAGAGAAAGTTTGGACAGGGAAGGAAGTCTCCTATGATCACTTGAGGGTATTCGGCTGCAGAGCTTTTGTTCATATTCCAAAAGATGAAAGGTCCAAGCTTGATCCAAAAGCAAAGCAATGCATATTTCTTGGCTATGGGCATGAAGAATTTGGATACAGGTTGTATGATACAGTTGACAAGAAAGTTGTCAGAAGCCGAGATGTTGTTTTCTTGGAAGATCAGACTATTGAAGACATCGACAAGCTTGAGTCAGCTGAGTCTAGTACTGATGATCTTGTTGATTTAGATCCTCTCAATCCCTCTGCTGTTCATGATATTGATGAGGAAGTGCAAACACCTCATGATGATGCAGCAGAAGATGATGTTGAGCCAGAGATTGAGGGGGAGCAACCACCCCAAGAGCCACTACCACAGACACCGTTAAGGAGATCTACTAGAGAAAAACAGCCATCCAGAAAATATTCTTCAAATGAGTATGTGATGATATCAGATCAGGGGGAGCCAGGGACTTATCAAGAAGTCTTGAAGCATGAGAACAAAACTGAATGGTTCAAGGCAATGAAAGAGGAAATGAAGTCTTTGCATGAGAATCACACCTATGATTTGGTGAAGCCGCCTAAAGGGAAGAAAATTTTGAAAAATAAATGGGTCTTCAGACGAAAGAATGATGGGAACAGTTCTCAACCGAGATTCAAGGCACGACTTGTCGTGAAAGGTTTTGATCAGAGAAAGGGAGTTGATTTTGATGAGATCTTCTCACCAGTTGTGAAGATGTCCTCCATTCGAACTGTGCTTGGTATAGCTGCGAGTATGAATTTAGAAGTTGAGCAGCTTGATGTGAAGACCGCATTTTTGCATGGTGACTTAGAAGAGGAAATTTATATGGAGCAACCTGAGGGCTTCAAAGATAAGGGTAATGATCAGTTAGTTTGCAAATTGAAGAAGAGCTTGTATGGATTGAAGCAAGCACCGAGGCAGTGGTACAGAAAATTCGATGCTTTCATGAGTGAGAATGGGTATTCAAGAACTACTTCAGACCATTGTGTGTTTGTGAAGAAATATAAAGATGGTAATTTTATTATTCTCTTGTTTTACGTTGATGATATGCTTATTGTGGGCCAAGACACGAGTAAGATTAGCAAGTTGAAGTCAGAGTTGAGTAAGTCCTTTGCCATGAAGGATTTGGGTCCAGCAAAGCAAATTCTTGGGATGAGAATTGTTCGTGACAAATCACATGGGCTGATTTGGTTATCTCAAGAGAATTATATTAAAAGGTTCTTGAGAGGTTCAATATGGACAAAGCAAAGCCTGTTAATTGTCCACTTGCAGGCCACTTCAAACTAAGCTCAAGTCAGTGTCCTACAAGTGATGAAAAGAGAAATGAGATGCAGAAAATTCCCTATGCTTCAGCAGTTGGTTCTTTGATGTACGCCATGGTTTGTACTCGACCGGATATTGCTCACGCAGTTGGGGTTGTCAGTCGATTTTTGTCTAATCCAGGGAAAGAACACTGGGCAGCAGTGAAATGGATTATTAGGTATCTTCAGGGCACTTCAAAGATGAGTTTGTGTTTTGGTAAAGGCGAGCCTATTCTTGATGGGTTCACAGATTCTGATATAGCTGGTGATGTTGATAGTCGAAAATCTACTTCTGATTATTTGATTACTTTTGCAGGGGGAGCAGTGGCATGACAATCAAGATTACAGAAATGTGTTGCTCTCTCCACCACAGAAGCTGAGTTCATCGCCATCACTGAAGCTTGCAAAGAATTATTGTGGTTGAAGGAATTCTTACAAGAGTTGGGTTTGAAACAAGAAAGGTATGTTCTTCATTGTGATAGTCAGAGTGCAATCCACTTGAGCAAGAATTCTTCATTTCATTCGAGATCGAAACATATTGATGTTAGATATCATTGGATTCGTGATGTCTTGAATGATAAGTTGTTACAACTTGAAAAAATTCACACTGATGATAACACTTCGGATATGTTAACTAAGGCATTGACTAAGGACAAGCATGAGAAGTGTCGACTTTTGGCGGGAATGGTCGAATCCTCCACATAAGTCGGGAGGGGGAGAATTGTTGGGTTTTCCTCCTTTGTGGGACTCATCAATTTGCTAATTTTTTGGTGGCTTACCCATGTATGACTCTTATCCAAGACTTGGTTTGAAGTCTTCAAGTTAAAAGGAATTTGGCAGCCACAAAAGACTATAAGTTTTGTCCTTTTCTTTGGTTCATCTTTTCTCTGTTGGTTTGGCAAGAAGACATATTTTCGGCAGTCTTTGGTTCAACAAAAATTCAGCCTTCTTCTTCTCCTTTTTTGGTGCCAGAAAAATCTGCAAATTTGTTCTTCAAGTGGGTAACATTTCTTCACTTGATATTTGGGTTTCTTGCGGTTTGTTCTTGGAGATTTGGTTCACTTATTTTGTGAGGTATTTTCCTCTTGTGATTTACACCTTGGTGTGTTTGTAAGGCTTATGCCTTTTGGCCACTTTGTAATCTGATTTGGTGATAGTGGAAGAAACTGACCTACCGGTCGTCGTGGATGTACCTCAAGTTATTTGAGGGAACCACGTAAATCTTGTGTGCTTATTTATTTTCTGTTATTTTATTTATATTGTTTCCATTGATTTATACTTGTGGGAAAACCTATTTTTCCAACAGTGGCGGCAATGGTGACAACGACGACGGTGCTGGTTATTGTTGGCGCAAAGGTGGTGATGGTTGTTGAGATAGAGATGGTGGAGGTGGCAGTGGTGACGGAGGTGGGGCCGTGGGGACCTTATACTTTATTATATTGACGATAAAGTCATTCCCTTCTACAAGTGGACTCTGTAACTTTCCCAAAAAATCCCTGAGCCTTTTTTATCGGAGAAATCATCGATAGGACCACATATAAAGCTTCCCCAACAGTTATTGCTTTACATTAAAAGACCGACAGTGAGTATCAGAATTCTTCCAAGTACAGAAGCAGCGCATGAAGATAGTTTCAGTGCCTACGCTTATATTACTTCTTTTGTGCATAACTATCTGTTCAATCTTCTTTTTATCCTCTCTATCACTCTCGGTTTCTCAACATCATACCCTTTCTGTTTCTGAGTTTTTCTCCATGAAAAAATCTAGCCATTTGGTTGTGTTTCTCACTTTTAACGTTGTTGTTATAGCCATCCTGATGAGGAGTGTACAAGCAATACAATATACCATTCCGATGCATGGGACCCTTGTTACTGCAGGATTTGAGAAGGATGAGATGAACTTAGCCTTACCCATATGTGCGGAGCAGCCATTTCCATTATATGCAGGAGAATATGCAGTTGAAAGCATGAAAGATCATATTGATGACAACAATGATTTTCTTCCCCGTTTAGTATATGTAGGATATACAGAAGAAAAGATCAAAGATGACCATCATGATGATAGCATGAAAGATCATATTGATGACAACAATGATTTTCTTCCCCGTTTAGTATATGTAGGATATACAGAAGATGACCATCATGATGATAGCAACGATGAGTACTATCATGGTTATGATGGTTATGATGAAGATAACGATGACGATCTTGATAAAGATGATGACGACAGTGAATATGGCGAAGAGGAAGACGATGATCTGAGCAAGAGAATCGAAGATTTTATAGCCAAGAACAACCAGAAATGGACGGAGGAGAAGCTCAATGATAAGCAGCTCTACATTGAAGCAGCTGAACTGCAATTTTCAGTTGCTGCCTAGCTCCAAAGACGTTGTACATGCAGTTTGCTGTTGTATTGACTGGATAATATATGGTTTTTTTCTCTTTTCTTTATTCCTTCTTATCTTTTCCCTTTTTTTTCAGTGGGGGTAAGGGGTTTTTATGAAAAATTCTGCGACTCGAGCCAATGAGCATGAGCCAGTTGAATGTATCTGTACTATCACTTAATGTAAAAACAACTAAATGTATCATATAAGTACAGTCTATTGCAGTGTGTCCTCTCATCCAATATCCATTCAGTTTCTTAGAACAACATGAAACTAAAGTTCTAAAGTCAAGTTATGTGACCTTGTTAAGGGATTACTTTACAGTCTGCCATTAACAGTCATTTGTGACCAGCCGGCGAGGGATCATTTATAGAACGATAATAAGTACTTATCTATCAAAGTAGCACTAAGGTGCGGGTTTGAATTCAAGAATCAACATCTTTGGAATTGAGTATCCCTCCTACTATTGGTGAAATTCTGATTTTTTTAGGATTTAGTTTGTTGACATTTTTACTCCAATAATACTTGTCATCAAGGCAAAGAAAATGGCTTACCAACTCTTCCATTTGTTGAGATAATGGTCATAGTAAACTAGAACTAGAACCACAGAAAACTAAACTTATCCTTTGACTCCTTCAATTATGACATCTTTTGCACTTTGTCTCTTCAATTATTGAAAGTTTCAAATTACCCTCTCAACTACTTTGATTATTTCATATTATCTCAATCACAAACGTCCGTTACCTTTTTATACGAAAATTGCAAACGTGTCAGGATAAAGTAAAAAACAATTACATTGTTCAGGGGTCAAATGAAATAATTTTTCGCTAAATATGTAACATAAGTTAATAATTGAGACAATGTAAAATTAATCACATAGTTGAGGGTGTAATGTGAAAACTATAACAATTGGGAGGACAAAGTAAACAAAATGTCATAGTTTAGAGACCAATGTGTAAATTACCCAAAAACTAAAGAACTAGGCCCTCTCTTACACCTTCTTATTATAATTAAAGACTTGCGAGAAGACCAGCTCGGAAAACCGTCCAGAAGGAGTCAGATATTTCTACATATTAAATTGAAATTCCTTCACCATCAATGTATGTGTTAGTTTTCTCTAATGAATCTTAACACCGTCGTGCCAAGAAAAAGTAAGTACCGTTGAAAAAATTGTATCATCGTGATGGTGACAAAGCGAAGACCGAGAATAGATTTTTATTTTATTTTATTTCATTTTTACAATTTCTATTAGCCAGTAAATGCTAATGGCACCATGACAAGAAACTGCCTATAGTCAAGGAGATTGGGTCAAACAAATTGCAAAATTCAGGTCTATGATAAGTATGACATGCACATTTTGCATTACAAGATGAGTCAAGATGCCCCTTGATGTGAGATAAGGGAGTGACTTTTTGAACGCTACCATGCCGGCATGTTCATCTTATCCGAAGAATCTTGGTTTTGTAATGTTACGTTGTTCAAATTTTAAGATTAAATTTAAAGTTTAAATGACATGACATTAAATACAGTAGTCAAGTCAGTTATTATGTTATTTGACCGGAGAAGACTCCTCTAAGGAGTTTAAAACACCTCAACAAACTCCACTTGTTTAGGAGTATAGCTAACAACTTTTCAATTTTGAATACATACGTTGTATAGGCTAACTAAGTAGGATAACAATTACAGTCCTATTCAAAGTCTATTTAAAGTCCTTGTATATGTACAACAAAGAGATAATAGAAATTCAAGCCTTCAGATTTTCATCAACTTGAATACATTTTTTACATTGTCGATCCAATGATAGTTTAAATGACAAGATGAATTAGTTATAAATTTAGATGTCATGAATTTGAATTTTGATAATTTTTTAGGGTTAGATCATGAGAGATTTATCTCTTATGAATACCTAATCCTGGCATAAATGGTTTTTTTTTTGACTGGATCGCGAAAGAAATTAGTCGAAGTGTGGATAAACTGATCCGAACACCCTCAATAATTGAACCAAGTTTTTTTTTTTATTATAATTGTTATTTTTATTCTTGACTCATTTTCAAATAACTCGTAAACTCAAATAATAGGTTTTCAATGGTTAGTTTTTTTTACTCTAATATTCGGGTTTTGCAAGAGATATCGTAATTGACACACATCTAAACACATTTTGAATTCAATCAACAATCACATGAATACGTTATTGGGACGATTCTCGATTACTGTATGAAACCTTCGAAAGGCCAATTATAATGATGCTCAAATAATTTGAATTTGAGATTTGGTTTGTATGTGTCTTTGTTTCATAGTGATCACTATTCTGCCATAAAGATGCCCATGTAACCTATCAGGGACCATTTGATACTTATTTTAATCCATCCACTGTTATGATCAAAAAAAAAAAAATGCATCTGTTTCTTGACTTCCCACACAGATTGTTCACAACTTTCCTCATGGTCATAAAGAAATATTTTTAGAAAGCTTCAAAGTCATCAAAATAGCATATTTTATATCATCATTCATGGGTTGTTTGTGGTATTATTTTCTAGGTTGGGCTAGAGTGGCTATAGTTATATCTTACATTTTTGTTCAATAAACAATCATGTGCGAGACATTAAGAGTAAATAAGGATTATACAAAATAACCTCTCTATTTAAAGACTAATAATGTGGACGGTGGTCTTAAGGATTTAGGTTTCGTAAAAGATTTATCAGATGATTGAGTTAACTCTTGGGTTGGTTTTTTATGTAAGAATTTGAGGTATTAGTTAAGAAGTTTAAACTGTTTTGATGTTCGAAGTGTCATTCAAAATGCTACACGTCGTCGTTTAGCTTTGTTCTCATATTCCAGCATAAATTTTATTGAAAAACTAGGGCTTGTGTTCTCTGATTTCTCGATTTCTTGAGAGGAAAGAAAAGGAGATTATATACAGTCTGAAACAGCATCTTAGTACGTTATTTTGCCCGACTCTCTCTCTCTCTCTCTCTGATTCGAATCACCATGACGAAACAACAAGCAAACTGGTCTCCTTACGACAACAATGGAGGGTACGCTCCAAATCCTTTTCTGTCTCTCTCATTATATGTATACAGTTATTGAAGTTAATTTATGTATGCAGAACTTGCGTAGCTATCGCAGGAGCTGATTACTGTGTGATTGCAGCTGACACTCGAATGTCCACGGGCTACAGTATCCTCACTCGCGATTACTCCAAAATTAGTAAATTGTACGACTTTTTGATTATGTCCCCCTTCTTATTTGTTTCTTTTTGGGTATTCTTCAATCTGAATTGATCTGTATATTCTAGCACGTACTCTTACTTGTTACATGGCCGGAATTTGGAAACTCATGGACAGTTGAATTATTATAAGAAACTTGGAAACCTATTTAGAACGACATTGGTAAGTTTCCCAGATTTACATTTTCCTCATATATAATTTTCTTGGATTTGATTATATAAGTATGTACTACCATTCAGAAATATATATGTATGTACTACCATTCAGAAATATTTACTGATCATACAACTCAACTCAACAAAACCTTTATCCCAACTATTTGGGATTGGTTACATGTTTCTCCATTGTGATTAGCAAGCCAATATTTTTCATTGAAGGAGACAAAATTGAGTTAATGTTTCTGCGGTGCCACTAATTGCCTCTAAGCAATGCAATGGAAAATTGAGTTAAGATGGCCAAGTTCGGTTAATGATCTCACTGTATCAGTTGTATGCATAGAGCTATGTGCCAGTGGTCCAATAGCTAGCTGCAATCCATATCTACATTGCGGGTTGCCCTATTGACTGATTGGTTTATGGATGTTTTGACTCATGAAAATTGCAAAAGGATATTTGGCTGTTTTTTTAACATGAACATGCACACCCACATAATTCATGCGATGAATTCTCCTCGTTGATTATGTCAAAATTGAAAGTAATTGACTCAAAAGATCTGGACATGTCTACGTTGGGACATACATACTATATGGATGAATTAATGAATATAGCCTGTTTTCTTAATGTCTGTGTATTTCTAAGTTTAGGATGTTTTACACTCTCACCATTCTTATCTAATTTCTTTTCTCCCTTTTATTGACCTGGCAGAGCGGACAAATCCATGATGGCTTCTTCAGGTTTTCAGGCTGATGTGAGGGCTCTGCAAAAGCTATTGGCAGCTAGGCACTCGGTGAGCTTCTGAATGACTTATATATTCTGCTTATTTTAAGTTGTGTTACTTTCCAAAAAACATATTAGCATGAATTCTGCTAAATACTATGACGTGCATATCTCATACGTCACAACATCCATTATGTTGGGTTCTCAACTACGATACAAACAAAACATTTGCATTGGCTGCTCTATTAAGACGTGGTTGAGTTGTATCTGGAACAACAATTGCCGCTATGAAATTGTTACAAATCATTTTCTATAGGAACTCCTTTTTGACTTTGTTTGGGATTTGTGGAACTTTGGATTGCTAAGCAAGATAATGCTTTGTCTCAATTGAATGCACCCAAGCAACAGTTTTTAATTTTTCTTCCACTTATTATGCAGTCTTGATAGTGGTTCTCATTCTAACCTAATCATTATCCGTAATGGTCTTATTATCTTTTGTATGAAACTCATTTCAAATGGAAACTATTAAAATTTGTGCTATACCTGAACCGGGGAAGTTGTTTTCTTATGGTAAGATCTGGTATGATTCCATATCCGGGACATATAGCCTAGAGTGGATTGAAATTTTAACTCCTACTTTTAATTCATCTTTTGCTGCATTGAGTTTTCGGACAAAGGGAATATGTAGTTGAAAGATGCATATAATTTGCTCTTCTTCTTGGAATGCAGATCTATCAGCATCAACACAACAAGCAGATGAGCTGCCCTGCAATGGCTCAACTGCTCTCGAACACCCTGTACTACAAACGTTTTTTCCCATACTATGCTTTCAATGTTCTAGGTGGCCTCGATAATGAAGGTAAGATTTGATGAGACCTTGTTGCAATATTGAGAGGCCCTCCTAAATTATAACATCATGTCTTTTTTTCTTGAACACCACAGGGAAGGGTTGTGTCTTCACATATGATGCTGTTGGATCCTATGAGAGGGTTGGATACAGTTCCCAAGGTTCTGGTGCCACGCTCATCACCCCTTTTTTGGACAACCAACTGAAGTCTCCAAGTCCGCTTTTGTTACCTGCCCAGGTCTGGTCTTGATGTCAATTTTTTGTTGACAAGTCTGCTTTCGCAATTCATCTTTCATGGCATTCTGAAAAAAACAATGACCTATGCAGGATGCTGTTACTCCTCTGTCAGAATCAGAAGCCATTGATTTGGTGAAGACTTGTTTTGTATCAGCAACAGAAAGGGATATATACACTGTAAGCTTCTGTTGCTCTTCAATCTTCTCCATTCTTTGTAGTAATTAAGAATCGAAAGGTAAGCCATAAAATGTGACAAAGTAGAAATTTTAAAGCTCTGCAACACAAATGGTAGTGCCCATGCAGCATAACCTTTGAAAGACCCGTTATTGCAAACTGCTGTTCTAGCCACTTTTACCTAATCTTCCTTCTTTGAATGATCAAAAAGAGGTATAGTCATTATAGCTAAACTTGTCACAGGATTAGCTAGTGTTGCTTTCCGCCCCCATGCCCAGGCTCCTAAAAACATATTAGTTTTAGATTGGATGACAAGAAAAGGATGCATACCTTTTTGCCTGGATTATTATGGTCATAGGTTGTGGTATATCTCCTTCGCTACTCCCTGATCGCCCCCTTAAAAATAAATAAAAACAAAATGAGACATACATCTTCTATCATAAACGAAAATAGAACAAGAGAAAAGTGCAAGCACTTTGGAGATTTTGTTGGTCAAGCTTTAGCGAAGTCACATGATAAGCAACTTTATTGTTAAAACCCCTCTTATTTGATTTTGTCATGGACATGACACATTCTTGTCATGTGATATAGGGAGACAAGCTGGAAATAGTCATCCTAAATGCTGATGGTATTTGTCGTGAATACATGGACCTCAGGAAAGATTGATCTTTCTCTAACATGGTGTTGCTGCTGCTGTCAAAGTTGGAACGGGATTTCGGAATGCTCAACATGCATATCTAGGGTCACTACTGGGATGATCCTTTCATTGTTCTCTTGGGCCATCTAATCGTCGATTGGTTTTTCATTGAACACCGTTTGCACTTTGGACTACCACATCTCCTGGTCATTGGAAACTTTGCAATTATGACTTCTGCACTGGAAATTTAGCTCTCGTGATTTGGTATGAGATCTTCAGATTTGTATTTTGAATCATAATCCAAGGTTTACTTCAAAATCAGGTTTGTTACTGTGGAAATTAGCTTTGAAAATGTTTGCAGGGAATTCCTCCCTTTGCCTACACCACACCCTCCCATAAAAACCTTATAAAAAGTAGTGCGGCATCTTCTCTACTAAGGAGGTGAATATTCAAGCCTTCTGCAGCACTCGATTATTGTTATAGCACATACATACACAATCCTCCTATCTCCTCAATCCTCGCATTGAGCAACTTAGTGGGAAAATCAGATTAGGAGGATCTTTAGTTTATTTTCTTTATTTTTTGATGTACAAAATGGATCTGTAGTCTACAAAATGTGTTTTCAAAACACACATCTTCATTGGAAAACGTGTTTTAACTCATTTTTTTAAAATAAAAATAATAGTAGTTTTAATAAATCAATTTAAAATTACAGTTAACTCGAATTGTATTTTACAAAATACACTACTTCATGCCCCACTTTTTATGGAAAATAGGTTAAAATATATTTTTAGATTTAAATTGTGCGTTTTATGTCAGTTTGATCCCCCAGTTTTTTAATTATTTCAATTTTGTCCTTCAACTTTTTAATTTGTATTACTTTGATTCAATCGAAAATAGTAGTTGTAATTTACGAATGGAGATTGTGTCACGTGCCTCACACATGAGGCGCATGCTTTGAAAATTTTAGGGATTAAAATGACACAAATTGTAAACTTGAAAGACCAAAATGATATATATTATAAATTTAGGCGACTAAAGTGACCTTTCAAGTATGTTCACGTGAACATTTTCATTAGTCAATTTAAACTGTAGCTTTCAATTAGACCAAAGGGATACCATCGAGAAACCATATTAACACAAATAAAAAATTGAGTACCAAAATAACACAAAACAAATAGTTGAGGGATATTTTGTCTTGCAAAAAAAGTTCATACCGGATTACGGGTGCAACTGGGGTTGGGCAAACCGAACCCAACCCGAAAAGATTAGGGCTTGGGCAAGAGTTTTTAATACTTGAGTTGAGTTTGAGTTAAAAAACTCTAACCTGAATTCAATTTGGGTTGGTCTCGGATTAAAGTCTCGGGTTCACGGGTTCAACCCGAACCTGACAAATTAAAAAAAAAAAATTATATATATATATATATATATATATATATATATATATATATATATATATATATATGTAAAGCATTAGCACTGATTTTTTATTTTTATTTTATCGTTCTCTGTCTCTCTCGTTCATTTTTATTTTTATTTTAGCATTAATACTGTTAAAAATTTAGTTGAAGTTATTGGTTGTTAATTTAGGTGAATATTATGTAATATATGTATTAAGTTTAAAGCAACAAGTTTATTTTGGGTTCTATCCGAACTCAGCCCAAATTGAACTCGTAAAGTAACCTGAATCAGTCCGAAATTATTAATCCGATTTCAACCTGAGCCCACCTGAATTAAACTTGGATAGTACTTGGGTTGAGTTTCTTGACCCAAGGTAGATTTAGGGTTGGAAAAAAAAAAAATATATATATATATATATAAGATTAGGCTAGGGTTGAATATACAACCCGCCCGAGTTGCACCCTTAGACCGGACTAATCCAAATTGAAAACAGTAAGTGATGATACGACGTCGTAGCTAGACATGTAAATTATTGGATTAATTGTACTAAAAGTTCTTAAAGTATAAAATTTACCTTATTTTTGTTCCTAATATTTCAATTGTATCATTTTGGTCCTTGAAAATATTTATTATGTTTTTATATGGTCCCTTAAGAAGATAATGTCTAAATTACTAATATTTTTTATCATAAACTTGTCACGTAATTCTTAAATATGGACAAAACAATAATTTGGATAACTCTTGACCAAATTTTTACTTAAATTTTGGTTAAATAACTACCCAAATTACACAGTTTAGATTACAAGCTATCTAAATTTTGGTCAAAAATTACCTATATTATACATTTTTTTTATCAAAAATTACATAAATTTTATTTAAGAGCTATCAAAATTATTTTTTGTCCATATTTAGGTATTACATAATAAGTTTCTGATAAAAAAATTATTAGTAATTTGAACGTTGTTTAGCTGAGGGACCATATAGAAATATATTCAATACTTTATGGACCAAAATGATATAACTAAAATATCATGACCAAAATAAGATAAGTTTTATATTTTAGGACCTCCGATGCAATTAATCCTCAATTATTTAGTGACACAGTAAAGATTTTCCGCCATGTTGACCGTCACTGATCTAGCTAGCATCGTCGATCATGGACTCCAACACTCAGGTACTCTTTCTCTCTCGCTCACACACACACACACACACACACACACACACACACACACATGGAGGCAAAAAGAATTCGAGTACTGCGATTGAATACATATTGTAAAATTCTGATCAGAAATTCACTATTGATTCACCATTATAGGCTTCGAAGCTAGTATTGTACTCTTTCTGGCAAAGCTCGTGTTCGTGGCGCGTCCGCTTTGCCCTAAACCTCAAAGGTTCTCTCTTTATCATCTCCACGCATTCCAACATTTGTCTGACTGTTCTTTACAAATTTTCCTTGTTAAGATAATTTCTTGTTGCTTCTGTTTCTGGAAATTGGGTATTCAGGGCTTCCGTACGAGTACAGAGCTGTCAATCTTGTAAAAGGAGAGCAATTTTCTCCAGGTGATTCATTGATTTGTAGTGGAACATATACTGATCGGGAGATTAAGATGAATCCAAGGCTTTTTATACATTTTATGCTGAGTTGCAGAGTTTGAGAAATTAAATCCTCTTCGCTGCGTTCCGGTGTTAGTCGATGGTGATTTCGTACTTTCAGACTCCTCTGCGATCTTGCTGGTTTGTAATCTTGATTGAAGTGTGGTTTGTAATTTTGTTCTTTTTTCCCCCATTTCTATCAAAATTTGCTAGCTTAATCTTTGGGGGCAAATTCATAATTATTAGTATTTGGAAGAGAAGTATCTCCAGAATGCGCTATTGCCGGTTGATCCTAAACTACGAGCTGTCAATCTTCAGGTTAGTTCCAAGTGGTTGGTTTTTTGTTCGTAGGAGTAGTTGGTACTTGTTATATAGGAAGGAATTTTATTTTACGGAACTTGAGGATATAGAATTTCACTGTGGTGCCCATAAAATGCACTTCTTATGATATACCCTGCATCATGTGCCCTGCATGCTTGTAAGCTTTATTTAATTACATTTGCTCAATTGATAGTTGTAAGTGGAAGCTAATTACAATTTATGGCTGTTTGAAATGTTATCAAGTAGATGGGCTATTGATGATGCAAATGATAAATTGTAGGTTTCTTGGACTTGGGAACAATGAAACCAGACTTAGGAAGCAGAGTAGCATTTGGTTCCCCCCATTTTTGTACTAACTTTGAAGCACATGATGGGAAAATATACGGAGTCACACACTTGCATGCGCACACTGCATATTTATGCACAAAATTCAACACGTTTCTTCCTGGCAATTGATAGAGGAGTATGTTGTGTTACAGGCTGCAAGTATCATCAGCTCCAGCACACAGCCCCTTCATATGTTATCAGTGCTGGTATGATGTGGTTGATTCATTCTTTTCGTGTCAGATGATACTGTATAAAGAGTTATAACTTTTAGTGTAGTTTCTCATGGTTCCATCATTCCTGCAGAAGTATATAGAGGAAAAAGTTGGTCCTGGAGAGAAATTATCATGGGCTCAACATAATATAGAGAAAGGCTTTCATGGTAATTTTTTTTTTCCCACTGAGTTGTGTTTGTTATTTTTTTTTTGGCCCCTCTTCTTGTTATTCTGGTTCGGAATTCTAATTACCTGTGGTGTTCCCTAGGTAGCTTTTGTATTAGATGTGATTTTTGTAGTTTTACATCTCCGTATTTAGCTAGGCAATGGATAAAGAAATAGATCCTTCCTGTTTTGAATGGTAAGATTTGCCTTTGGATGATATTCGCTTCATAGAAAATTTAATACCAAGTACCCTTAATAATATGTCCACTCATTATATATCGAAGCTAGTATAGACCTATAAGCAAGGATCAAAATGTCGTGTCGACACGTCCGAAACGTTTCGGAATTTCAACACTCCGAAACGAAACAGTAGTTGAATCACAAAATTCCAGTGTTTCGGTCGAAACGGTACTGTTTCGGACCGTTTCAGTCGAAACGGCATTGTTTCGAACCGTTTCGATCGAAACAGTACCGTTTCGACAAAACAGTGATATATTCGATTCATTATGAATAATTACATTTAATACCCCATTATAATTACATTTAATACCCACTGTAATTACATTTAATACTCACTATAATTATATTTAATATCCCACTATAATTACATTTAATTCCCACTGCTCTTCTGTCTTTTATAATTTTTTTGTTATAAGAATAAATAATTACACTTAATACCCTACTATAATTATATTTAATACCCATTATAATTATATTTAATACATACTGTAATTATATTTAATACCTCACTGCTGTGCAAGTTTTTTGCTTTTTTTTTTTGTTATAAGTATTAACAATTACATTTAATACCCTAATGTAATTATATTTAATACCTACTGTAATTACATTTAATACCCACTGCAATTACATTTAATTTTTAAGTATACATAAATATCATTAATTTAATTTGATACCCTTCATTATTAGTATTATAATAAAATAGTATTATTAATTGGATTATATTACCGTAATAATATGATTTGGAGTAACTATTGTCATCATATTTATGTCACATATGGAGTTTCTCTAAGTAGCTACCCAGAGCCTACACCGATGTATGAGCCTGCTCGACACTCCACAGGGGAATGGATGTAACCATGTAAGTATCTAGTCATTAGCATTTCATGTGTATTATAAGACCTTAATATTATGTAAAAATGTGTTTATTTCATAAAAATTAAGTGTTTGAAACTAATTTAAGTGACTTTCGCCTCAAGTCAAGCCTTTTTTTCCCTCAAATTTAAATTTATTCTTGTATAAATTGATGTTAACTTAATAAATATGTTGAATTAATAAATTATTTAGCATATCTTTATAAATTAATGGATTGCATTTGTGTTTCTATGCGTTTCCATATTTTTTCTGCGTTTCCATTGCGTTTCCGAAATGTTTCCGAAACGTTTCAATTTTTGAGTTGACCGAAACGGTACTTCGAAACGAAATTTTGATCCTTGCCTATAAGTTCCCTGAAAGCTTAGTAGACATTAAAATTAGGTCTAGAGATGTTCATGGACAAGATTTCCAATTTGCTGGCTTTGATTGATAACATGTACAATGTTGGCAATGACAATGATTTCTTCAGCTTTATTCTTTCTGTTGAGGCAAAGGCATATGCCTATATATTCTAACTTTAATACAAATTGCAAACATCACTTTTGGCATATTTGTACAAAACGGAGGCTTCCATTGTTGATCATAATTGCATTTGACTTTCACAGATGGATAATTTGATATTAACATGGAAAATTGTAAATTGTGGCATATAATTATCAAAAAATATGTAACACATGCATGGCTACCTATTTATTTTGATGCCATCTGTTGGCTCCTGAAAAGGAATATCTGATTCTGGTAAATTGAGGAAAACAAACAAGGTGGATATAAAACCGTTTGAGGATGATATGCTGATATGCTGATATAATCATGTATGTTCTGCGTTTCTGGAAATTCTTTGTGAAGTTATTGGTAATCAATCTCCTTTTCGTTGGATATGGTAATGATATTAGCCATTGTTTTCATGCAAAGGTTGGGAATTTCTCTTTTATGAAGCAAATGTCAAGTCTCCTTTGCTGAATATATCTCTGCATCAAAATCTACCATTTGAAAAATCTTGAAATTGTGTAGTTTTTACATGATTTCTGAAAATCAGTCACTGAATCTCATCTACATCAACGAGGTAAAAGATCGTTGAATAAGCCTGGAAAAGGGTGTAGCTTTTTCATAAATTATGAAACCTGTTTAATTTTGTTTGGTATTTTGAATTTTTTGACAATACAAGCAGTTGTATTGTTGATGTTTTGCACAATTGTTAATAAGTTCTCTTAGTTCATGGCTCATCCATTACAACTTCCATTTTTTATGTATTCTTGGTTCTATTATAATTCATACGAGATCTCACCATTTTGTTCAGCTCTTGAAAAGTTGCTGAAAGGTTGTCATGGGAAATATGCTACAGGAGAAAAAGTATACATGGTATCTTTTTATTGCTCTACTTTCTTCTTTGAAATGACTCAAATTCCCTAATCTCTAGTACTAAATACGTAATTTTATTCTTTCTACGTCAACATTCTTAACGTAAGGTACATAATTGATTTAAAGAGGAAACAAAGATCATATGAGATCTCAATAGGAAAAAAATTATGCGTAGCAAAGAACTACAGAAGACGGACTAAAATAGATATCACTTTCTGTGATTAAAAATTGAATTTTATTTCAAGATTGGAACTGAATTTAAACGTTTTTGGATCCTTTTTAGAGCCGGAATTCGCTAGTCAAAATGCTTTGATTACAAAGAACAGTGAGTCACTCTGATGTAATAAAAGAAAAAAATAATAAGAGGTGGTTTCATTTGCAGGCTGATGTATTTTTGGCCCCACAAATTGCTCTAACTACTCTGAGGTTTAATATTGACATGGTAGGTCATGTTCCAGTTCCCAATACTGATCTGGGAAATTTTTTATTATCTTTATGTTGTTAGACTACTTATAGTTTCATTCCTTTTTGTAATGCTTTGGGAGGTGACTTTTTTTTTGTGTACTGCTTTTTTTTTGGCTTGCTGCATACTTTTTATATTATTCCCCGCAACCCTTATTGTCTCTATAGTGTTCATTCCATATACATTTCCAAATCCCCCATATCGTGTTCGTTTGTTATTGTATTTTAGACAGTTCAAATACACATGAATTTATGGGATCTACCTTGCATAGTGTCTGAGAAGTAGAGAAAAAAGAATGGACTCAACCATGAAATATTGATTTTCTAGATGTAGTCGATGTAATCCACCACACTTTCGACCTACAAGAGAAATACACTTGGGATTTACTTTACAAATCATAAACATAGTTTTAGCTGAACACAAAATCAGTTCAAGTCATTTGAGTGTAGTACTGAATGCAATATTGTCTGACATCAGTTCTGAACTAATATATACTACCACTCAGGAGTCTATTTTTTTTTAATAGAACCATAAATTTTATTAAGATATATATGGGACGTAGTACAAAATGGGATGAACAATGGACAAGTCATCCATCCACAAAGCAACTCATCAAGATACAAATCATAACCACAAAGCTATGTCCTCTTTCTGTTACTTCAAACTTATTTGAAAAATGCTATAAGAATTGTATTCGATGCATTATGCCACAATTATTATCTGTTGACTTTTGACTGAGCTTAACCTGATGCTTACGTAAAACCAATATAAAATTATTTAAGTTTATGGAATTGTGTTTTCGGTTTCTTTGATGGTGCCCTGCTGAAAATGATATATAATGCAATAGAATGGCCTCATTATTTTTCAGTTCCTGACTTGCATGATATTTTTATGCTTTTCCATGCTACTCTTCCGCCTGCATGATGATAACATTTCATTTTTGTTTTTGCAGTCCAAGTTCCCTACTCTAAGTATGATATATGAATCATGCAAGGCTTTACCCGAATTCCAAGCTTCTATACCCGAGAGACAACCTGATGCTGTACAGTTATCCTGTTTGTATCCGAGACTAAATAGTAAGACCACATTTGTACTCCCTCTCATCTAGTAGTTTTTAACAATGAATGGCCCCTTCTTATTTGATTGATAACTTACCAGATTGAAGTTTTGTTTTGGCCTCGAGGACTTGCATCCAGCCTACATCATGCTGTTGCCATGTGAGCTTCTTGCACTGTCTTCATAAAAATTTTTAAAAAAAAAAAAAAACATTATGATTAGTTGGGCCCTTCCCATATGGCCCCATTGTCGGGGCATAAGCGCCCTCTTGCTACCCATATGTTGAGGCACCATCTTTAGCCTTCCCTAACCAAGATTGCTTCCACACTTGTAGTGTGAGACCAGAGCTTAGGAGCCTTAATATTTTTAGAATTTCATCCATTTACTTCTATGGTTATGCTGCCTTCTTATGAATTGGGGGAATCTGAATAAAATACCTGCAAGTGTTTTTCCTTGACTGATATTTTCAAAGTCCATGTGAGATTAGTTTAAAACATAATATGCCATCTTCTAAGCTAAACTAAGCGGGGTGAATTAGCCACAATTTTTATCTCACTGGGGGTAAACCGTGTCTGAAGGTACAGTGCAATGTAAATGGTTTTGGTTTTGAGAGGGATGTTAGTTGCCGTTAGATGAGTCTATTTAAAATTATCGGATGAGTTTATTGAAATTTGTTCTGTTTTATATTATAAATTTCATAAAATATTAGATAATAATAATTAGATACATAGTGGGATGAGATTTTAATGTTACATCCAAATCAATAAATCGAATTTCTATTGAAATCCATATGCATAATAATGACAAGGTGCTGCAACTGGGATATTAGCTTTGAAATAGCACTAAACAAGTTTCTTTTTCAATGTAATTTATTAAGCGTCTTGTGATGGAATAACCGAAGTGCTCGTTTAAGGCTCTTAACCTTGTGGTCGTGGGTTTGAGCCCCACGGTGGAGGCTTTCATTTAGCTCTATCGTGTTACTTTTTTCTCTACTTGTTTTTGGTTTAACTTACACCCTTTGCTCGTTATAACAAGACACTGCATTGTGGTGTTATCAGCAAAATATCTGGGTCTGTTTGCATTGTATCTCCAAAACAAGTTTTTTTTTTTCGAAAAACAAGTTAAAAGCTGTTTGGACAGGACATTCTACAAAAATAATTTTGAAAAATTTGGAGAATTGAAGATTGATTTTAGAGAATAGGCCAAAGGTGTTTTTGATTGTTTTAAAGGCAAAGTAGGGGAATAATGAAAACACGGAAAACACACTACATTTCTTTAATGAGGTCTGGACATCAAGCTTCGTTGGAGGCATTTTCACCCATTTTTTAGATTAGTTTAGCAGAGGCCATCTCTCTCTCTCTCTCTCAAGTCTCCATTTCTACCAAATTCAATAGATTTATATATATGTACAGATTTGAACACAGATTTATATATTTGTGTATATATATATTTTTTCTTTTTTTCTTTTTGGTGCTATGTATGTGAGTTGTGTGGGTGGAGAAGGGAAAGACAGAGAGATGGGACTGGATAAAGGACGGCAGGAGTGATAAGAGGTAAATTGGGTTGGTGACATTTTGTTGGGCATTGTGGAAACAAGTTTACAGATTTTATTATTTTTTGTTCTTTAAAATTATTTTTAAAAATATATAACTAAACCAATTTAAAAAATATCAAAACACACTTTCTTAAAAAAAATTCAAAAATTATTTTAAATACTATTTTTTGAGATGCAATTTAAACCCGACCTCAGTTTCCACCCAAATTTGCATTTAGACCAAAGAAAAAAGTGAATTTGTTCTTATTTTTGTTGTTTTTTAAAAATAATTCAACCAAGACACGTATGTACAAACAACATATTAATCACCTTATTTCATTCATGTTGTGTTAGTGTCGTATTTACGGGTTGTGCTTTTGACACCCTTGCATCTATTTTTGGAAACAATACAAAACCTGAGAACTTATGCTTTGGCAATCCGCTGAAAAAAAAAAGGTATTCATCACATTCTGCCTCTTTTCAAAAACAGATATTGATTGCCCACATGTCACTATTTCTTTCAAAAATTTTACGATTAGCACAAAAATGTCACAAATGAAAACACCAACCGACACAATTTGTTCCACTCCATAGTTGATAGATAGAGTGAACTCAACACATAAATTTAAAGGGGCAAAACTATAATTAACCCAAATTGACTGTCCAAACCCACAGTACACATTTTAACATTAGTAATTTGCAACTCATGGTGTAGTAATTTTTGGTCTAGCTTTATAGTTAAGTCATCAGCCAAATTTGTACTCGTATCAAGCAATATCTAACTAAACCACTAAATATATATATTTTCTATATTTAAGAATTCTCTGGAATGAAAAAAGGAAAGAGGCAAATACATAATGTATGTAATGGTGAATAATCAGTTGACAAGGTAAGCCAAAATAAAAAGTGATTATAGGGAAGTAATCTGTTTACCGATATTTTGATTTGCGCCCATTAGGAGTTGAAAAATAACTCAGAATTGTCAAATTCTGTGTACAAAACTTTGTTGAGGAGCAAGGATTCAGTTGGATCACGCTATGCAATTTGAGGGAAGCCAAGAAAATTTTGCACATATTTGAATCGTGCCATAAAAACAGCCGCATTCTAACTCCAATCAATCTTGTGCATGCAACTCTCTTGCCAAAGACAGACGTGAAAGCTTGGGTATTTGATGATTGAAACTCTAGCATACAGAATGAGAGCTTCAGTGAATGACCAAAGGCGCTGCACTCGCACGCTCCTTATTGATCAATGTAGTGGTGGAGCTGACCAAAACTTGACTTTCTTGTCAACGCTGGCTGTGGCTATAACCATCACTTGTTTGCCTCCTGCCAAATTAGATAAGAATGCAATGCAATTGAAATCAGAGGCCAAAAAAAAAAGAAGGTAAATGAAGTCGAGGGGATACAAACCAATGCCAAATTCATTCAACTAACTGCATTGAGTCATGAGCTGGATATTCATGCAGCAGACAACATGTGCAATGGGGTAGGGCAATTTGAAATGGTCACAGCGAAGACTACTGACCTAATTTACTATTTACACTGCATAATCTTAAACATCCAAAGAGTCAAACATATGGATTTTTTTAGAGCTTTTATGCATTGAAGAAAGAAAGATAGTTTTCCTACATATCTCCAAATAGGATTCAGATTTGGACATCTCATATTTTTGGGGTGTAGAAAAGACGATGAAGGGAAGCAAAGTTGACAGGAATCAATCACCCATGACCCCATTGCTTTTACGAGAAGGGAAAATACAAGAATTAGTATTTCATATAGTTCATCAGATAACAGTAGAGGTTCTTCAGTAGGTGCTTGGTGTAGAGCATGCAAAAAGGGAGCCAAAGCATATTAGGAATCTTGCATGTGAGTGTGCTTAAGACCTCAAGTGACCTAGCCTAAGTGTCTTGTTTTAAATTTGTTAATATACTAAGGTATAGTCCAATGCATGCACCATTACTTTTAGGAATCAAGGATATTTTGATGATACTCAAGGCTATCTAGAAATGGCACTGTAACTCTAGTTAGTGATCATATTCCGGGTTAAGGGGAAAAAATCCTCAATACCAAACAGTCCCAAAAAACTAGATACCATGCAGCTTGCACACTTGATCGGGTCCAAATTTCCAAAAAGGAACTTCACAAGCACTCTTTTCTGGATGCCCCATAATAATTTTTTAAACCCCCAAAAGCAATGATAAATATATGGAGGAAATTTCATTTTTGTGTGTGTGTGTGGGAGGGGGGGGCATACCCATTGGAATAGATCGAGGAGCCCACGAAGTGTCCGTGATGTCACCTGCAAGATGGAGCAAAGTTATACATTAGCAGAAATATAACTACACAATCTGATGCATAGCATTCGAACACAGCAAAGGAATTAAGGAGGAGCAAGAAACAGTGGTAGAAAGTTGTAGACTACCTCTACTTTTTTCACTTATATAACCGTTCTTAATTATATCCTCCCTAGTTTTACCACACATCCACCATGCTTAATAAACTCTAACAAAAATCGATGCCACAACATGGATTAAACACTTGAGCATGCACATATGTGAAATATTTGCCCAAAAACGCCTTACAGCTCTCATGCAGCATGTTTAACATTTCAAACCAAAAAAAGACACATTACATTTTTTAAATTAAAATGGCCATAATCCTCCTTCTCTTTCGTAAATTTGCTTACTTATCTACGTCGAAATAAAATATCATAGGATACAAAATTCAATTTCTAAACCACCGAAATTTGTAGCAGAATACTACATAACTGCTCCTTTTTGTGGAGGTTGCTAAATTGTTGTCGTAGACTTGGTAAGTTTATTCAAGCAGAAACAGTGACAGCAAAACAGGAAGAGGCAAAAAATTACGTAACCGGAATTGATTTTCCCTAATGAAAGAAGAAAAATTCCGGCAAAATATTTGAAAACTGACATACCATCGTGGGCTTTGTCAGCTGTGTCCAAAACTTTCCCAGTTTCAGCACACAACCACTGCAATGTTGAACCATGAGTAGCTGCCAATATCCTTCCATCTGGTGAAATACTGAGACGATCATAGTGCGAAGTAGTGCCACTGGAATCACGAAGTGGAATAGGAAACACCTTCAAGGTTTTAGGGTCCTCATCAAGATGATATCGCACTTCAAAAAAGGATTGAGAAAGTCAGAATAAAACAAATAAGGTGATGACTGTTGCAAGAAACCAGATACAGATACTCAACCCCAAACTGCACTGGCATGGACTGTGCTGTGCAAATTCAACCTTATACAAATGCAAGAATCCTTTTTGTAACAAAGTTGCCTACTACTCAGCAAATTATGTTTTTAAAAGCCACGAGACATTAAGCATAGTCCATGACGAAGATGATCAACAGTTATAAAAAGACAATAGATTGGAGCTCATAAATTAAAGGATGGCACAAAAATAACTACAATCATTTACAGCTAATATTGTATATGAAACATGACAAAAAAAATTCCAGCAAAATCTACATACCATTGATATTCCATATTCTTATTGAACCATCCTTTGATGCTGTAATGATTTGTTCTGAATTCGGTGCAAAGCATAACCAAGTCACAGCACTCTGAACATCTCCCATCCCCAAAGACAAAGAGAATAAGGACATGAGGAGCAATACACAAATTCAGGCCATAAAGTTATTCTTCAATATATAATAACAAGAACTCAAAGACGTTAAAGAGTTGGAAAGTATTCAACTTAAGTAGCAACTGACACATTCCCCGAATTAGAGCAGAATTTCTCATCAATTATCAGAAATGGCATCTGAAGTAGAATATTTAAAGCTTTTTTTTATTTAAAAAAAAAAAGTTTACACAGAGCATAGAGCTCCCGTTTATAGTGGGACTTGGGAAAAGTGAGTGGCTGGCTACCATACCTCCATTTTGGAGAGCCTAACTCCCAAAGTCGAACCCACGGTGTAAAAATCAACTGATTTGCTCAATACCGGAATGCATAAATACAATTGAAGCAGCATGAAGCCTTAATTCAATGAACTACTATTGCTCCTATAAGCATTAGTAACAACTTTTTATTCTAAACACCTAATATGAAACCAAGATTCTCTTAAAAATTTTGACCACTGAAGACTCTTCAAAACAGTTAATAGGCTGAACATATGAAAAACCCAGCTTTTATAGCTTCGAATAAAAGCATTAAAAATTTGCTTCACAGCTGATCAAAAATTTTTTAAAAAAGGTTTGTTTCCTCACTTTTTTCAAGCAAAACCTCTAGCAGAATTATGCTTCATTTTGTAATTGATGGCCATACAAACTGAGAAACAGCGATTGACTTTCTCAACACCAAGCTTAAGCATCCCTTTTACATATACTGATGTATGAAATTAGTGTGTGCAATATAGAGGGAAAGCTTCATGAAGGAAGACATGTAATCCAGTTATGAGTTTCACATTGAAAATTTATTACCTTGTGCCCCTTGAGCTGCATAACTCTTGAAACCTCCTTAACAGAACCGTCCTTTGAATAAACAATCTCCCAAATCTGTCAAAATAGATTCCCACAAAAAATAGCAGTTCGTTAGATCCAAATTCTGAACAATCAAGCTAACTACTATAGACCTACAGTTTTACATCTTTGGCTATACATGAATCCTGACCCCAGGGAAAACAAACCTCATGTAAAGATGAGGAACAGAGGGATTTCACAATTAGAACTACAAATCCTTGTAAAAAATATATATATTTCTTTACCAATATGAGACAGAGATTTAATTTCTTTCTGGGCACATAGGGGTTACTACCATAAATCAAGAGAATTGGGCATTAGTGCAAGAAAGATAATTGGGTAAGGCTGGATGGAGCTAACGCAATACACATCTTACCCTAAGCCACTTGGCTTTGCAAATATTTTGAAAACCCAAGCCCCCAACCCCATCTTACTAGGTGCAGGGCTGCAGAGCATGATACAGCCAATGTGCATCCGTAAATGTTCCACAACTTTTCTTTTTCTATTATTTGACAAGAAAGCAATGCAAAAACCTCATGCAACAAATTGTCCTCAAATGTTCAATAATCACCTTCACATCAGCTGTAAAAGCTGCAGCAGCAATAAAACGCCCATTTGGAGATATCGTTGCCATGGTGTTTTTGAGCTGATTTGTATCAACATTCCCTACAATCTTCCCAGTTTTCCCATGCCACAGTATGATATCGGTCCCTGAAAAATAAAGAAATTGGCAATCCACTCAAAACAAACCAAAATGCTTTAGAAAAATCTCAAGTGCAAAACTTTTATCCAAAACCCACTTAATGCAAGACAGAGAAGGTAAAAGGTGGCTTTTTAAGGAGAGGAGAGATAATATGGTGCAACTTACGAAAACTACCAATTTAGTTGAGAACAAGTTCGGCCAAATAACTACCCTATCAATGATCGGATTTTTTATTGATGGGAGTTAGCAAGTGTTTTGTCAAATTAATTTGGGCATAATTGGGAATAAGTCCGATGGAGTAGAATCAATTAGATTTATTTTGAACTTGCATGGCAAAATAAAATTCCAAGTCTTCTCTAATGATTTTAATTTAATGTTCATAACCGAAAATTAAACCCTCCACCAACAATTTATTTAACTTACAGAAGTTTGAAACAATATGACATGATGAATTCGTATACCTTCTGAGCATGATGCAATGATTGTACTCCCATCAGCACTGCCATAAGTTGCTGTAGTTCCAACTAGAGTGATTATAGCCTTTTGACCGTGGACTTTATGATGCTGCCACTTAATTTCAGGATGAGGAAGCTTGGGCTGCTGTTCAGTTTCACCAGAAGTTTTGGACTTTTCTTCTCCATACATGTATAAAGAAGAACCAGAAAGTGCTTGCGAAGCCACAACTACAGAAGATGTGTCATCAACAAATGCAACTGCTATCGGATGACCTCCAGCAGGCAAATTAATTCTTAGAAATCTGCAGAATATTCAATAGGTTACAATTGTGAAGATATCGAGAATAAACTAGGCTAGGCAAAATTGAGAAAGTAAATGATCAGGCATCCATGGAGAAGTTCTTCTTTAGGCATCAAGGTTAGTTGAAAAACATACTTAAAGCTTTTACTTGAAGCATCCTCCATCTTGAATACCCTGACCACTCCATCACCACAAGCTGTATGCAACCAAAAAAGGAAAAAAAAAACCGCTTTCAATCTCAAAATTGTAAGCACTTTAAGACACGAACAAATCAAACCAAACTTTGCCATCACCAACGAGAAATTATGTTTACATTGCTGGAGGAAAATAAGCGAAAATCTCGTTAAAATATCACAATTCAAGTCACAACATTACGTTCCAAGCAATAACATGATTTGTGGCTCTTGGGCACAGGGCAATACAGAGAAATAGCGCACAATCATATTTCTCAAAGATACAACCAATTGCAGGGCATTTCCCTACTTTCAAAGATCCAGTTAAAGTGTCTAGGACCACTTTCTTTTTGCATGTGAAATCGGACAGAAATTCCTTTAGACAAATAAAAAGAAAGCAAGAAAAATCACACTCTTCTATGAATATACAGACGACAACGCTAAAAAAGTAAATGATTTTGCTTGTCAAAAAAGTGGTAGCATCAAAGTGAGCATATTGAACTTGATAATTTCTGATATGCTATGCAACCACTTGGGGGTGGATTGTATTCTAACTTTCCTACATCCCAAAATTATGGTTAAACAACATATTGACTTCACATATAGGGATGACATTTCACTAAATAGTGATGGAAACAAAGAAATTGTATATTTGCTTTTTTCACACTTTTTACAGAAAGAAGGATTTCATCAAATAGAAAGCACTAAAATGTCTGAGATCTCATAAATAAAGCTTTCATAGCAAGGAATCCCTTTCAAAAAATTGTAGCATAAAACACCCCAGCAAACGCTGAATGTCAAACACCTACACCACTAATTGTTGTTTATTTCTTTATTTTATCTATGGATATATGTACTGATTGGAAAAAGAAAAAAACAAAAAGAAGCATTCCAATAAAGGGCTAGTACACAAAAAACACTAAGCAGATTAAAGAAATCTACCCACCAATTCCCCAA